CATCCATCCATCCATCCATCCATCCATCCATCCATCCATCCATCCATCCATCCATCCATCCATCCATCCATCCATCCATCCATCCATCCCAACTGACCCACCATGCCATCCCTAAACCACTTCAAACATGTATTTTATGATTTATTTTACAGTCTGAGACCAATATAAAAAGTCAAACTTTTGTGTTTAAATTTCTATTATCTTTCACCTCGTGATGCGTTTTGATAAAAGTACCACACACACTCAAATAGTTCAGAAGCAATAAACCATCACTTGTATCATTATCACGACCACATCTCAAAGATAAAATGAGAAAATCAACCATTAACAGGAAAATTAATTTTTAGTCAGTTATTGTGTTGTTTAAAAAATAGTCTTCTTTGTGTAGCTTCATTCATTACAGTTTTCCTCAACGTTCTAACACTTAGTAACCCATAACATTATGACCACTTGTTTAACCTTGAGCAGTTCCCATATACTGTATGCTACCAGAACACCTCACCAATTAGGGCATAGACTGAGAACCATGTGACGGTGTCTTAGCCAAGAGTCTGCTTGTTGAGAGTCGTGTCAAAGTAAGAGTCATGAGTCACAAAATGCAGATTTTACCAGCACAACGTTGCATCCTAAAATAACTGGTATAAACTGTCATGAGTCAGAATGCTGGGACAGACTGGTGTATGTCATTTCACCTAGGTGCAGCAATTAAGTAGTATTACATGTTTTATACATGAGAAGTGTTGCCATTTTTTAAAGAAGCAACTGTTTCATAGTACAATATTCTCAATGTTTAACAGAAGGGATTGTCTTTTTTGGAGTCATTTTAATTTCACAAGAAGAACATTTACATTTCAGGTCTCTTGTAAATGAGTCCCACGAGGCTCGATGGGATTAACCTGTTGAATGATTAAACTAAAGATCAAACTTTTGTTTGAGGTCATAGGACAAAACTACAGTATATAATGCTTTTTTTTTCATATTTTTTTAGATAAGTTGTGTTGTATTTTTAATAGCAAATTGCTTCAGCATAAGGACACCAATGAAGGTTCAGCAGCAACACACTGGGTTTTCTCCACTATTTAAGTTCCAATGAAAATTAAAGTACTGCTCATACTACAAAAACACTGCGGTACCTTTAATACCAGACGCTAAGAGTAATTCTAATAACTACTAAACCACTACTACTGACAGTACCCACCAAAACCTTTGCTTTTTCATCCTCTGTTGCAACCTGCTGTCTCAGCCAGAGGCAAAAATAAATAATCAATACAGAGGTTGACTCTACACATTTAAACTGATTAAACAGAAATATGTACTTCATGTGGACATACTTTGGTTTTTTTACAGGCCATGAAAAAGCATACCTCCTCCATTGCCTCTTCCTCCTCTTCCTCTGTGATTTCATTTAGCTTTAATCATGAAGTAAACACACTGGTTGAAACTTAAACTACCGCATCTGATAGTTATAGTCCAAACGTCAATCCAACACTAAACTAACATATCACTACGTCTACTGTAAGTATATTACATTACATGTAAACAACTAGACTCTCAGATAAAGAAGCTACTTCTAATATGAAGCAAAAATGCAGACATGGAGCATCTAAATTGGGATTAACGGGATTAACCTGTATAAATAAAGTTGAATGAAGAAAGCTGGTATTCTCCAGTGTTTAGCTTATTACTAAGCAAATACTATATCTGGATTCATAACACTGACCAAGATAGAAATGAAAGTAATAGAACAAGTTTGAGCCATTCAAGACATGAACTAATCCAGCATTAACCACCTACTTTGACTAACCTAACCCAGCAGTACGGTACATACCCATGCTTCCTCTGTAGCAGTCTGACACAAACACAAACACCTCAGAAGTTTATACCAAATGTTTGACGTGGATCCCGTCTGTTTCCCAGTATGTTTCCTTGCACTTTGCTCTCCATTTGCACATTGTCAACGTTTTGTGTCTTCACTCACCTGCTTGGCGCCCATGGACTCAAACATTTTTTCCAGTTGGATTCTCAGCTGCTGCACGTTGTTCATCAGGACGCAGGGCTACAAGAGAGCACAGGATCACTAGTGAGCACGCATACACAGCAGAGCCGTTTCAGTCTTTTAAACATGTAAGTAGTAGCAATCTAAGTAATAAAATACATATTTTAAATGAGTGACAATTCACCCCATATAAGACTTTTATTTAAAATATTTTACTATAGGCTTAGCAGCAACAAGACTGGCAGCAGGACTGACTTTTAGATATTCTGCTGTGAGTAAAAAGAACATAATAAAAATGGTAAGAACTTACAATTTTTTCCTTATCGATGTAAGATGGAAAGCTCTTGGTCAGAATGGCACTGTACTGCAGAAGAACTTTGGCAATTGTCTGCATTAAAAAGGAAAAAATTAAAAAAAAGAAACAACGTTAACAAGCCATCATCTCTTTTTATAGAAACTGCTCAATGTTTATGGTAGGATTTACATTGTGGTTAAAAAAAAAAAAAAAAAAAAACGAGCAAAAATATTTATTATTAATTCAGTTTTGCATGACATTTATATGTGCTTCAATTTTTTATCGTAGAGCTGTTAGGTAATTTTCACGTGTTGGGAGTCCCAAATAAAAACAAAGTCCAGTAGTCCCTCGCTACTTCGCGGTTCAGTTTTTGCGGACTCGCTCTATTGCTGTTTTTCAACGTAAGATTCATGACACACAAATGGGTGACTGATGGATGAGCCGCACGATCGGTATGCATGTTTTATTTAAAATAAATTATTTTAAATGATTTTGCAACTGTGTGCAGCCCACAACTGTGGGAGAAGCTTCCTCCTGCAGTTGATCAACGGATATCTCGGAGTGGTGGCGCAGAGGTTAGAGAGGTGGGCTTGTGATCCGAAGATCGCCGGTTCACGCCCCGGCCCCGACAACATCAAAAATTGTGGGTGGGGTAGGTGAAACACCCACACTTGCCCCCACCCTCATTCGCCCCACTCTGGGCCCATGAGCAAGGCCCTTAACCCCACCATGTGCTCCCTAAACAGGTCTCTCTTGAAAATGAGTTCTCGTGGCTCAATGAGACTAACCTGGATAAATAAAGGCTAAATGAAAAAAAATAAAATAAAATATCTGCTCTGCACGGAGATGTGGAGAAGTGGGCGTGGCCGAGAGTGCAGCCAGAGGCAGAGAGCTTAAATCATGACAACCTGTGCTCTTAGAGCGTTTAGAGTTTAGAAACATTGTTTAGAATATTGCAAGAGTGTGACTACTGTATTTACTACTTGTACTACCAACAACACAGTCCATGCTCAACTACTACAGGTACTTGTACTAATATTCACAGTTTTTCACTTATCGCAGGGCTTCAGGATATGGATCCCCTGGGATAAACGAGGGGCTACTGTATTTATTTAGAATTTAAAGACCTTCTCAAGTATTATTAGTCAAATCATTTGTATTTACAAAGATAAAAAAAAAAAAAAAAAAACTTAAAACCACGATTCACACATCTCTAAAAGATTTCAGCTCCAAGCCAAAGATGCCCGGGCTGTCATTCCATTCAACTATCTGTTGCACTTAGAGCTGGTTTGGGTTTAGGCGTTGCGGTCCTGTGCAGACGTTTACCTTGGAGAAGCGACGGCTGTACTGAGCCATGACACTGGGGTCAGGGCATTCCAATTTCTTGATGATCTCAAAGCTCTGGTTGAGCTGGGTGAAGATGTCCACCACAGAGCAGGAGAACAGGGCGTGCTCAGACGTCTGCTGGAACTAAGATGGGTGTAAAAACAATATATAGCTGTTGATAATACTAATTTATTGGGGAATAATAGCAGTGAGATATTAGATTAAAAAAAAAAAAAAGCTATGAAACGACTTGCTCATGATAAGAATGTGTTTACGCCTGAAAACATGAGTCCCACTTAAAAAACAGATCACTAGCAATGATAGAGGCTTACTCCATCTTTTTTGTCTCTCTCCAGGGCTCCATGCATAAATTCCATTGATACATCCTCATTTTCATCCAACCACTGCAAAACAAACTGCACAAACCATCTACAAGAAGAAAAAAAAAAGGCTTTGAGTTTAGCAACGAGTTTCCCCATCAAATAACCTCTATTTCTTTGTCACGTGCACTTACGATGGGTAGTCGGGAATGACGCCCTTAAAGTTTGGCAGCTCCTTAACATACTCATTGCAGAGCCACTTGACTTTGAAGTGGAGGTTCATGTAGTCTGTGCTCTTACACAGCCGATGCTTCTCGTGCTCTGGAGGTGAAATTGAGCCATCTATGAAACTTATGAACTAAACTGAATTAAGCATTAGGGAAATAATGCACACATCTTTACTATAAAAAAAACAAGTTTAATCTAAATTCCAAGACATCGGTCGGTAAACTTGTATGTTTTTTTAAAGATGTAACACAGGAAATCCTTTATTTTGTGATGTTTTAATTATAATATCCCTTACAAACCAATAAACTTCAGCAGTGATGTTACTCTTGGAATACATTAAAGCTGCCATGCAATTTATTTTGAATGAACACAATTCTGCAAACAAAGCAACCATCGGGTGATAAATGAACAGATACTAGTGTGCATTTTCTAAGACTTACCTTCCAAAGCGTACTTCATGTCTTGAGCAAACAACGTCCACATGACTTCAGCTGACAGCTTTCCCACATTAAGCTCCTGAGGAAACCTGGGTGAGAAAAGACAAATAACTCCTGCATCATGATTTAAAGATTAGTTAAGGAAAATCTGAAAAGAAGCTTTATAAAGCACATTTTGAAATGAACGTACAACTGACAAATAAATAAATATCGAAAGTGGATTGACTGACTGATTGAGCACAGGTGTGTAGGAGTTCCTGTCTTCTTCTATGATGGAGACAATCAGCATGATGAGCTTGGGCCAAAAGTCCAAGTTCTTGATGCTCGGACCCTGCTCCTCCAAAGGCAACTCCTCCTTGTTCTGGATTGGAGAAATAAAATATTGCAGAGGCAACTCTGAACCTAATTAAGTTTCGGAAATAACTATCAGTTGCGTTTAACACACCGTTTCTGCAGGGTGGTACTGTCTGCTGTACAGCTCATGACAGTTATTGAAGATGTAGTCATATGTAGAGTTGAAACAGGCCTTGACACAGTCCCTCACAACCTGACTGGCTCTGGGTGGGGACTGTAACTCCTGGACCTGAACATCAAACGTGGATAGCAACTTTAACAAAAACTTAAGTGACAATTTAACAGTTTTATTCATCAAGTGTCAAATAGAGTTACAACACAACCAAACAGTCTTGATTTATTGGCTTGAACATTAAACTGCACCATCACATCAAAAGCACTTATTGTTTAAAACACACAAGTATGAAAATGCCACCACAAAATAATTTAATAAAGACAATTAAAGAACCTTCATCCTAAAAAAGGTGATGCTGGTTAGAAGGTCCACCGTAGACTTCAAATCTTGCAGACGATCTTTGTTGCTGGCAGGAAAGTGGTTCTACAGACAAGAAAAAAAAAAACACGTTTATTCCAATTATAATGCTTACGTAACTAAAGTTGGACATTTTATATTTTATGAAACAACAGGATAAAATTGACAAAGTGGCAGTACAGTATCAGTTGTAACCATAATCTTACCCTGTATGTAGAAAGGTCGATGCGTAAGGAGTTGTGTAGCTGGTCTAAAAGCTTAACAAAGCGTTCTTTCTGTATACGAGAAAAACGACAAACAAATAAAGTGAAACTATGCATCATCTTACAGAAGTACAATGATCGGACAACGGCGGAGATAAAAAAAAAATGAATGTGTTGCTTTTCATGTGTGCTACAGCTGTACAAACCCCAAAATTAGAAGCAGCAAAACGGTCAGAGGCGGACACATTGGTGGATGCAGTTGTGTGAGCGTAGAAGGCATTAATATTAGCCAGCAGGCTGCTCATCACTGCAGGAACTCCAGGACACATGTACTTAGTTGACAAGCAGGCAAAGTGCCTGGAAAGAAAGGCACAATCAGAGCTTGGTAAAGACATTGCCAGCATGCTTCCTCTTGCATATCTTTTATCTGCTCACACTTGAATATATATTTTAAGCGATTCTTCAGAGTGTACCAGTAAGTACCCTTTGAACCATCCCATTTCAGTACAATTATTCATACAAGAAATAGTCGTTTCATTTACCTTTCATCTACATGGTAAATTATGGTAAATGATAGCCCACTGAAGTGTGCTTATTGTGAATGATGTTTCTACGAAATGGACCTGAGCATGACTTCATATAGATAAATACAGTACAGCCCTTTTAAAATGAACCTACATTCATTCTAAAGCCAACAGCGCATGACAAGTTAATCAGGAGGCGCCAGGAACTGATGGGGAGACAGTTACGTTTTCCATAATATGCAAGACTTACGTCATGGCCTGGTAAATGGATTCAATCCCATAACGCATGGCAAACTCATCAACTATGTCCTGTGCCACATCTTCATAGTAGACCTTCCAAGAATCGTCTCCACGAGCCTCTGGGATCTTTACCACACCTTGACCAAGCACATCGGTTGAATAGTGGAAGAGGTTCTGCAATGGACATATGGATTCTAATTTAAATGAACTGCTGCTGCAGCAAAGCTGCTTTTATAGATCAGAAATACATGCAAGATGTTGCATTTCATGCTCGACCTACCTCGTGCAGACAAGTGTATTGCACATGATACGCTGCCACCTTCTCCTCTCCTTTGATCTCAACATTGATCTGGAGGCGAATGGCACCCGACACGGCTGACTTGTCCGTCCGCTTTTCTGTTATTAGACACAAACGCTGTCAATCAGACCCTGCAGTAACACTTGCACCTTCTCGATTCATAACTCAAATCCAAATTCAAGGACGCACATTAAACCAAATCTGTTAGCACAACACTAATTATAGGTTCTTAACATGGCAGTTCTATTGTTGGGGGCTTGTTTCTACAGCCTGATGGCAGTGCTGAACCGGCTGTGTTAATAGAAGTCCTCCAGCTGATCGTAAGCGAGACAATGGCAGTGGGCTGTGTTGATCTGTGCCAGACTACCAAAGACATTTCCACTGGAGCTTCTCTGGAAGTGGAGGGCTTGGTGGCTCACCCCTACTATTAACCCTGACAGGGACATCATTAAGTGTAATTTGTATGTCAGCCAAACTGTCAATTTCCGACTGAAGTGCTGCCACTTGATAATTTCACATCAGGATTAAGAAAACAAAGTAGCATAAGCAAGGAAAGTGCCTGGAAATGGGGATAAAATAATATACTTTGATCGGACTGTGCATTTTGCAGAACTGGTCAATAAACTCTAATTGATGCATTTATTTTTAAATGGTAGCGCCACAGACACACACACACACATTTTACAAGAAATAATTATGTAAAAGACAACCCAGCTCTTTACTATTGACATGACGGGGTCATTTACAATTTTTAAAGTACAATAGTAAAAGAAAGACTATTATCATTCGAAGCAATACAAGCCTCAAGGAAGTTATATTTTTTATGAAAAAAGTCTATAGAAAAAAAAAGATTGAGATTTAACGACAACCTCAATGATGAGAATAAAATAAATATTGGACACAAAAAATATATATAATAATATTAATAGATGTGAAATAATACAAGCTAATGACATCCATTGGTTGTTGCCAAGGATGTGCTTGCAGGTTAGGAAGAGGCATTAAAACAGTAAATCATACAAGAGACTCCATCTTTATGTATCAGATCTTGAAGCAAGATCTTCAACAGCATTTAAACATTAAAATGTATATTCTTGTTATATTGTATACTGGTTTTTATCCTCTCTATCTCCAGCTGGTTGAGGCAGAATGCTACCCATCCTGATCCCAGTTCTGCTGGAGGTTTCTTCCTGTTGTTCCTTTCCACTGTCATCAATGCGCTTGCTCAGAATGGGAGATTGCGATGAAGTAAAGATTCAACACAATCTGGTGATTTGATCAGTGTCCTGAGATGTTAGATGTGAATTTGACCTTATATAAATGAACCGAACTGAACTGGAATTGTTGATAGTGGGAGCTCAGGTTTTCAACGATGATGCTTTGCATTCCAGTGAAAACAGGTCTAACAATGACACAGCAATTTTCCATCCAAGGAATTCGCTCCTACTCAATACGATTACAGTTTTTGTTGTACAGCAGATGCATGATTGTTAATTGAACAGCATCTCTAAGCAAGAAAATTAAACAATTTCATCTTTTTTTCATACATACGACATCATGTTCATTTAAAATTAAAGCTGATGAATGTACTGAAGATTTATTGTTGTTGCAATTTTATTGTACATAATTGTCACATGGCCATAAACTTGCTTGCTCTCTAATCACAATACAAAGAAAACAAGTCACACTGACCCAGGTTGTACCAGACGTCCATTTCTCCACTCAGCGTTCGAACTTCAATGATACTTTGACCCAAGAAATCATCGGACTCCCTCTTTAGTCGCTGTTTTACTCTGGACTTGATGTCATCATCTTCATCCCAAACACGCACTTTGATTCGGTCTGAAGAATTGTGGCACTCGCTAACAAAAAAAAAAAAAAAAAAGGTGTAAAAAAAAAAAAAAGATACAATTTACATTAAAAAAAATAGAATTACTTAAAAAAAAAACTAATTAAAACAAAAATATATATGACTCACAAGTGGAACTTTTCCTCCCAAACTGGGTTGAGGTTACCATAAATGGTCTTGGTTCTCTTCTTAGTTTTGCCAACCTGAACAGTCACATATGGATCACTGGATCCGGTCTTGTCTTTTGCCTGAAGTCCTTGTGCACAAACAACTAAAATGGCAATAAAGAAATACATAAGGGACAACCATGAATTTAAGCAACAATTTTAAGCTGAGCTGATCATTTAATAACAAGGAGTGGCATTACAATTTTATTTTTGATCTTTGGATCAGCAGAATACCTGTGATGGTTATCTTTGCTGACCATTTGGAGGTACCATCCAGCACACTTTGTTTGATAGTCTTCATCTGTTGTGCGTGAATGGCTTTACTGACGCTGAACACTTCTCTGATCAGCTCAAATATCTCTGGTTTGTTCCTTTCCCTGATTTTCATCCTGTCCTTCATGGCCATGATGATATTTTGAGTGCGGTCTTCAGCTCCATGCTTAGAGCTTTTTTCTGCAGCTCCTAAACACGTACCAAAGTAAACAGAGACCAAAGATATTAGACTGAAAATATACTTTTTTTGCCACATAAGTTGACACAAAATATTTAAACTTCTTGTTTTTAAGAGTTTGGGAAAAATCTTTTCAAAGAAAATTTGTAAGCCAACTTTTCATGTTTCTTTTGTCACCTTCACGTCATTTTAGGAACTGTACTCACGCTGTAAACAGTCAGCATTTAGTAGCTCTTGGCACTTTTCATGGCACTTGACGCCGCACTCGGAACAACGCATGCCTTGGCGAGCAATCCCCCATAGCAGTCCTTCACACTCATAGCAGTATGTCGGTGTGGTGGCTGTCCACACCTCAAAGTTATGCGGCGTAGTGCAGGATATGGGGTAGATGAGAGCCTGCAGGGTCTTCTTATACACATGATTTTTCTACACAAGGAAAAAACAAAAGTTTCCAAGCGAAGGGCGTTGATAATTCAGTTAAAGAAACAAAAAAGCAGAGAACGTAAAAACAAATGTTTATAGAACAGGTTCATTTACAGAGAACTCAAAAGTATTATATAAATGTTTAATACTTTTAAAGTTTGGCTTACCAGCTCCTCATCCTTGAATGAGGACCGAGCGGCCATAGCAGAGGCGATCCCTGCCTTTCTGGCTTGGACAAGGGACTGAGCAGGAAACGACAAGGAGAATTTGCCTAAATTTGCATTCAGTATACAAATATATAGCCTACCCAAAACCAAGAGCACCACCATATTATTGCTACAACAGTAGATGGTGAAAATAGTTTTAAAAAAGGGTGGTCAGTAGAGTTAGCATAGTTTGTTTGTCCTGTTTGTGGACTTGAAGATGATCTGAAAACCCAAGTGAGTATGGTTAGTTTTAGGAGGCTAATGATTAGCAAACAACTAATAGAAAAGATTAGACCAATATAGGCCATAAAGAAATAAGGTATTGTTAGTGTTTTACCCATGATTAAGAAATAGTAGCATTTTTGATGGCTTTAAAGTGAGGAAAAACATAAAGCTAAAAAATAAAACAAGTTGATTAAATTTTCTAAAGTTATATCAAGTAGGAAGAAAGAATGCCCATAACCAAAACAATGCATGCATGTTTTTTTTTGTTTTTTTTTGTATTTGACTTGTGCATTCAAATAGATTGGCATGCTGCAGACATACTTGCAGCAAATACTGTTTAAGTTATCCTACTTGATATTTTGCACCTCAGAGGGAAAAGGGGAGTGGCAACTGTGTTCTATAACTTACCATAGCCTGACCAAGAAGAGTGAATGCATTCAAGAGTTGTGGGAAATAGTTTCAGGTTTAGGAGAGGAGGGAGAGAGAAATTAGCATTCTGATTCAATATCTGTCTGATGACAAGCTCATCCCAAATTCTTACGTCAAAAGCACAACTGTAACTTCTGTGGTGGTTTAACAAATAGAAAGAGATGCTCACAAAAGATGGAACAAAACGCACAAGATGACAAACAATATGCGGAATGTCTGGGGAAAGAATGACTGACTGGTACTGACCACATCGCTGACCAAGGGGATGGGCTTCTTTTTACGCAGGTCTGGCATGCTGTCGATTCCATACAGACCAGATCCACTACTAAGCAGTAAAATAAGTAGAAATTAATGTAAAAGGTCCGAGACAATAAAATAATTTTCAGCAGTAAAGTTCCACTGGAACTTGTTTTTGAATACTTTGCATTCAGTAATGCGAAAGCCACAATAGATACACAATATATAAAAAAAAATTCAAATACAACGTGGCTGAACTTACCCCGGTTTGTCCCAGGCCTGGCGAGTATTTGGTTCCACATCTCGGACCTATAACATTGTATTTATTACACATTAGAGATCTTAAAAAAAATACATAGTTTGAAAAAAGCAAGAGGGTGAACCCTGGTTGAGTTTTATCTCTCTGATGTCACAGAACATGCATTCAAATAAAAAAAAATGTGATGGTGTCAAATGCTAACAAACATATAAAACAAACAAAAAAAAATATTTAAATCAACAACATTTCACAATAAATAAAACAAAATGGCAGATCAAGTAAAAGGCATGGAGCTTATAATAGAACCTTTACAGGAAGTTTAAATTTGACAGATTTAGAACTTTTTATTTTAGTTTAGAAGAAACAAACCAAGTCCAATCTTTGTAAGGACAACAACAACAATTCTACTGGTATGTGCATATCCAATCATTTATAATGGTGCTCCCATTTGAGAATTTAGTGACTAGAATGGTCTAAACTTTAACTAGATGAGTTTTTATCATATTAAACTATGTTATTACAAACTGACGGCAAACGTTTGTGCAGAATATCTAAAGTGATTTATAACTGATACAGTGCATATTTATCAAAATGTTTTATATGTACTTAAAAAACAAATATTTTTATTTAAAAATAAACAATGCAATAAAAAAAAAAACACGTCCCATAATTTAATGTTTTAAAATGAATTAAAAAATAAAATAAAACTCAAAAATGCCAAATGTACATATAGCTAAAATTAGATGAATAACCTGATTATCTTCTCCTCCATACTCTGGAAGAAATAAAAGAACAAATAAGATGAACTAAAATGTGTGTTTATGTATACAAATAAGTACTTATTGTAGTTAAAATACTTTTATTTACAAACACACAAAAAATTAGGAGATCACAATTTCACTAGTTCACCATCTCAGTTGATCATTATGTATTAAATTAAATTAGGACATTATAGACCACTCAAAAAATGTTTCGCTGTATTTTGAGATCCAGATTATAATTAAAAAAAAAAAAAGAATGTCAAAATACCTGGAATAAATTCTTCTTGAAATTGGGATGCCTGTGATACTTGAGACCCACGAGACCCCTGGGACCCTTGAGTAGATCTGGACAGTCTTTGTTGAGTTTGCCTCTTTTCCCTCAGAATGCGCTGAAAGTTAGCTATCCGTTCCTTGTGACTAGCATCAGTTGGCTTTCTTTGATTTTCCTCAGCAAGAAGATCATTTTCATTGATTGGACTCAACCTGGGCTCATCTGTGCTGAGCACTGGGCCCAGAGAACATTCAGTCTGGATTGATGGGATGTGGTCTGGTGTTAAGACAAGGATGGACTGTTCTCTATCAGTTGCCAATTCTTTATGCGTTTGTGAATTCTCTGTTGTCTGAATCTCAGCTGGGGTGCTGGGAGAATGGGTTGGTTTGAAGGGGGATGAGTGCAGGGAGAGTGACAAATTCTCATTTATTTTACACGTTTCACTGCTCTCCTTTGGCGAGGCAAATTGAATAAGATTCTCTTTGAAAACAACATCCCGTTCTGTAAACTGAGCACCGGTCTGGTTATCCTTAGATTCACTAGCTTCCATGACTGGGAACGAAGAACCGTCTTTTTCAGCATCATTTTTCACTTCTTCTGGGTTGGGTATTCCCAACTTTCTCAAAACCCCAACCTGGTTAAAAGTCAATGCATTAAAGTCTTCATTGGGGTTTTTGGATATGCTCTCAAAATCTATTTCAGAAGACTCAGATGAAAATGATTCCTCTACATTGTCTCTGGAAATGCTGTGGTCTGTCCACTCCCTGTCCAAACTGTCAGCGGACCCAAGATCAAGAGTGTCCCCAGATGATGGGTATTCATCACCAGTTGAATGCGGCTCCAGGTATACATCATCACAGTCTGTCAACAGCACAGTGGAACAGCTCAGACTCCGAGAGGGCCCACTGCCAAGGTCATTTACACATGGACCCATTGTGTGGTAACCAGAGCTATGTGAAAATGGACGATTTGCAACACAATCACATTCCAAGTTTTCTTTGTCAGCTTCATGTGTGAGACGTCGCCAGTTTACCTTACTGGAAGGATTTAACGGGGAATTGTACTGGTGTCCAAATAACAGTGAGAGGTGCTCAGAACTGGTGTGTGAGGAATGACCTGCTGAGCTACTTTGTGTCCCCTCAGTGATGCACCTCTTCCAAACATCTTGATCATTCTGCAGCTCTTCTCTACTATTTGCACAAGAGGAAATGTCCTCTTCACTCCAACTTCTGTCTCTGCCAGTACTGTGTAGTGTACCAACAGAAGGCCACGTGTCACACTCTGTGTCACCAGAAAGAAAGCCTGCTTCAGGATAATTAGAACTATGGCATGAAGATAAAGAGCTAGTGCTTTGGTAAGTCTGGCCACAATGAAGCTCCAGGTAGCAGAGATCAGGCTTTGTTGGGCTTAACATGTCCATGTTTGAATTCAGCTCGGACATGTTGTTGTCTGTTATTTGATGGACGGATCTGAGAGTGGCTTCATCCCCTTGCCAATGTTTGGTTGATTTAGTAGATGATATAAATTGTGAATCTGTTCCATATTTGCTGCAATCCAACAATGGACTGATAACTTTTCCATGAAGACATGTAATGGCATTCTGTCTACCCAAGCTTCCTCGTCTAATGTGTGGTGTTTGAGAAACGGGGCTAGGGTGAGGTGCAGCTGAAGCTCCACCATAAAGCTCACCTATTTCACTGAGCACTGCATCAACACAGCAAGATACTTCATCAACTGAGCCTCGGACTGATGTTAGATACTGCCTTAGGTCAGAGATTTCTTCTTGGATTTTGTTAATACCCTTTAACTCTTTCAGGATATGTTCTACTAAGTTACTAGAGCCTTGCTCTTCATCCTCCTTCTCCTCCTCTGCATCATCTTTGGTGCAAGACATGGCATTCTGCCCAATTACACTCCTATCCTGGCACTGAGGACTTCTGTCTTCCCCAGCTGTGACTTTGTCAGCTTTGTTGGTTGAGTTGACTGATGATATATTATGAGAAGGATTATCGTCCACATCCGCAGGGGACTTGGGACGTATTTTGCACAGGTTTTGTCCCACATTTCGTCTCCGTGATATTTTATTTTGCAGCTCTTGCGTCTTGGGTAAGAGAGGATGTGGATCTGAAGCATCGGGTTCATTCTGTTCACTGATGTGTCCTTTGGGAAACATTCCTAAAAAGTGGCACTCGTGATAAGCTGTCTTGACACATGGACAAATCACTGGATCTATGCTTCCTTCAAGGAGCGGCTTAAGAATACATCAGCTTCTTAAAACTGCAAATGAATAGGCACCTAAATAAAACCATAATTATTCAGAAAAGGTACAGTGACAACATAAGAACAAAACAAGCAGCTGCTCAGATGTCTGTAGTTGGGACGCTTTGGAAAGACAGCTCAGTAATTTCACGATTCTTGCCTCTGAAAGTCCTGTCTATCTAAAACCCCAAACCATCTGTGCAGCCTGATAGTTTGGTCCAACTGTGCATGGATACTACACTGTGAATAATAAAATATTCTCACAAATCACAATGTTAATATATTAGCAGCATTACAGTTCAAGTTTCAAGTCTTATGTGATATAGACATAGCAAAGTGTTTGCATTGACTATATCACAGATTTTACACTACATTTGGATAGGGTGCAATACGTTGAAATAAATTAAATGCAGCTATTGTTGATAGTACATAAGATACATACTAGTCAGCTAAATTAAATATAAAGTCAGACATTGTATGATTAGTTTGTAACAGGGCTTTCTCCACGCTAACAGAAGTTGTAAATCAGCATATTAAACTGAACAGATTTATTTTGATAAAACTTGTGCTGTTTTAGCATAATCACAATCTTAGGAATAAAATAAGTTATATATACAGTAAATGGTCTTGGAACACTCAGAAATTTAGGAGTAAACCTTCATCACATTTAAATTAATGAAAATCTGCAAGGAAGTACATTTTTATTTATTTTTTTTAACATTAGAAGATAACTTTAAAAATAGCTTTAGTTATGAAAAATGACTTTCCAGTTTAATGAGTTAATGATTCACTCTGAGGAAAAGATTAACTACAGTAACCCATTTGTGCACTTGAGAACTTTTACAAGCACCAGAGCACCAAAAAAAAATAAATAAAAAAAAAATAGATTTTAGGAGACGATGATTTGGTGGACTAAAACATTTTACTCAAATAAAGTTAATTTCTAGTGCAGTACTTTGCGTTTCAAAATACTTCTGATGACTACTGGCAAACAGACATATTGGTTAACTTAAAAAAAAAATCTGTTGAAAGTCAAGTAAAACCTACTAAATTTCTGTATTATCAAACATTTTATACATGCTGGCAAGAAATGTCTGCATAAATATATCAGAAAGGTATAGCAAATCCAAATCCTACCTTATTGAAGAAAATGAGGAACCAGTGAATACCATAGTGCAAAACTGGTCAAATTTTTAAATCTTAGTAATGAGAAATTTACTGTTATCTTAAATAAATTGTACATAAAGATATTTGTCTTGCTATAGGAACTTGAATTTCTAAATTTTTAAGTCTACATCTAGAAGGTTACAATGAATAAAGGATTGCACGGCAGTTCACCCATTCTTAAAAAGCCATCTCAATTTCCCTCCCACCCTCTCCCTCTCTCTCCCTCTCTCTCCCTCTCTCTCCCATTAAGGATGTCCAGCCCTTGCAAGCCTTATTACGTGTACATGAGAATGTAGCATTTCAAGTTGTGGCAATGGCTGAAAATGCCTTACCTAAACTCAATAACATTTTTTTTGTATTGTAAAATGCGTCTTTGTACCATTGGTAAATTTAATTGGAAGACATACCTCAAGTCAATCTAGTGTTTGAATAGATGTGTATTAATGACTGTAGCATCATGTGCTGGTTACTGTAGCCCCACAAAACACAAAAACAAGAAAGTGTACATCATCCAAATGTGCAATTAGTCCTGCAATCTAGTATTTTCTTACATAATGAAATTATGGCCTTTAGATAGCTTTCACTTTCCATATATTTGCTCAACAATTTATACTTCAAGGATTCAAGGTTTTTTATTTGTCACACACACACAACATGTGGCACATGAGGTGGAACAAAATTGTGTACACTTAATGCAAGTTAATCATTTTAAAGGAGTTGGGAAATGGCTACAAATGTTGATTCTTTTGTGCCACACTGTTACAAAGTTAATCGATAAAATGAACCCCAGATAAAACTAAGAATTTTCCTTTTTTTTTATTATTATTGTCAAGTTTCCAGTTTATTAACATTTATTTAACCAGGCAAATCCCATTGAGATCACAGATCTCTTTTGCAAGGGATGCCTGGGCCTGAAGGCAGCCCGACATGGATGTTGTTTGTAGATTATAGGAGGAAATCAGAGTACCTGGAGAAAAAAAAAACCCTCACAAACACAAGGAGAACAAGCAAACACCACAAAAACAGACCCCAGGTCCAAACCAGGGATTGAACCCAGGACCTTCTTGATGTGAGGCAACAGTGCTAACCACTAAGCCATTGTGCTGCTATTAACAAGATATATATATATTTTTTTTCTTTATATATTTTTTTAAAAGCCTTTAAAATGAATTGTAAATTCCCTATAAGCTGGGTAAGTCACACCATTTTAATGTTGACTATATCAGACATCACTCTCAACAAATGGCTTTTTTTTCCATTTCTCAGATGTGTGTGACTTCTTGTCAAATAGATTTGAATTGTAACTGTCGTCATTTCTGTTCCGTTTCTCTTATTCAAGTTTAAAGCTAAATAGTGTTAAATTATTATTTTATATATGACTGTTTCTGTTCAGTGCCCTGAGATGACTTCTGTTGTGACTTGACATTATATAAATAAACTGAACTGAATTAAATTTTAAAGCTCAAAGAAAAACAAAAAAACAAAACAACAATAACATAAACTCTAATATTAGGAGCAACTCTTATGTGCATATTTTTTTCTATTGGACTTGAATGCCATATCCTAGTCAGTATACTTTTGCATGTGTTGGTGATTTGACAAATCTATACAGACTTTAATCCTGATTCATTGTCATGTACAGACAAACCGTCAATCGAAAACAACATAGATCTTTTAATTCAACAAACATGACCCAATATTTACTCCATTCTGCCTTCATTCAACATTTTAAACATAAAAAAACATATACTTGTCTGCTTTTTTAAAGAATTAACACCCATCTAATTCAGAATTACCCAATTTGTTTGGACCATGACATGTTGATTTGTTTAAAAATGGGTTTATTTTCCAGATTAAAATAAAAATGCAGTAGAAAACGTTATGAACATGTAACAAAATAAGACAAATGTTACGGACAATAACTGAATCATAAACAAAGAGAACCATAAGTGAGCCATCCATTTAAAGAATATGTGGGTAATTGAAGACATAATGAATGTATTTCAATAGTTTAATGTTGGTATATTTTTTGCCTTACCAATTGAAGAAATAAAAGTGATTGCTGATGCCGGAGAGAGAAAAAAGAAAGCAGCTTGCATCTAAAATGTATTACAAATGCAATTATAAAAACGGAGAAGTGTCACTTCTCAATCTCAATGATTTTGAAGGGTTATCAGATATCATGCTAAGAGTCCAGAAAATGTATTTGCAGAGACATTCAATTTGCTGTTAAATTAAGAAAACAAAAGTAAACCTTCTGAAAGATTAAACATAATGTATTATTTGTATGGTGGGGGAAGATGCCGGATAGATCCGGTAGACCCAAATGTGTAGTGAGGGTTCTTGGGAACACCAGGCAAAAGAACCCGTCAGAAAGACCTTCAACTCATACCTCCAGGAGAGCTTTAACCTAATCCCAGTTGAGGCGGGGGGGCACTGAGTTCAAGTGGGACATGTTTCACGCCTCAATTGTTGAAGTGGCTGCCTTGAGTTGTGGCCACAAGGTTGTCGGCACTTTTCGTGGTGGCCATCCATGAACTCGGTGGTGGATACCCCAGGTTAGGGAGGCTGTCAAGCTGAAGAAGGAGTCCTATCGGGCCTTGTTGGCTGGTGGGTCTCCGGAAGCAGCTGAGGAGTACCAGAGGGCCAAGCAGGCCACTCTGTTGCTGAGGAAAAATTTTGAATGTGGGAAGAGTTTGGTGAGGCCTTCAATAGAGACTCTCTGATGACTCCCAGGAGATTCTGACAATCCAACAGGCAGCTGAGGAGGGGAAAGCAGCACTTTACTAACACTGTGTTCAGTGAAGTTGCAATACTTTTGACCTCGACCAGTGATGTCGTCGGGCGGTGGAAGGAATACTTCTCAGATCTTCTCAATTCCACCAGCATGGAGCTTCCATGGAGGAAGCTGAGTCAGGAGACTTTGGGGTTGGTCTGTCCATAACCATGGCTGAGGTCGCTGAGGTAGTTAAAAAAAAAAAAACTCTGCTATGGCAGGGCTCTGGGAGTGGATGAGATCCGCCCTGATTTCCTTAAGGCTCTGGATGTTGTGGGGCTGTCTTGGTTGAGATGCGTTTGCAAAATCGCGTGAATATCGAGGACAGTGTCACTGTATTGGCAGACAGGGGTGGTGGTTCCCCTCTTCAAAACGGGGGACTGAAGGGTGTGCTCTAATTATAAGGGCATCACTCTCCATAGTCTCCCTGGTAAGGTCTATTCAGGGATACTGGAGATGCAAGTCCGACTGTTGGTCAAACCTCAGATCCCAGAGGAACAGTGCAGGTTTCATCCTGGCTGTAGAACACTGGACCAGCTCTTTATCCTTACTAGGGTCCTTGAGGGGTCATGGGAGTTTTCCCATCCAGTCTACATGTGTTTTGTGGACTTAGAGAAGGTGTTCAATCGTGTTTCTTAGGGTACACTGCGAGTGGTGCTCAGCGAGTATGGGATTGGGGGCCTGTTGCTATGGGCTACTCATCCCTATAAATGTCTTGTGAGAGTTTTGTTCAAATTGCCAGCAGTAAGTCAGACCCCTTCAGGGTGGGAGTTAGACTCAGCCAGGGCTGCCCGTTGTCACTGATTCTGTTCATAATTTTTATGGACAGAATTTCTCGGAGCAGCCAGGGGGCAGAGGGAGCCCGGTTCGGTGGCCTCAGGATTCCATCTCTGATATTTACAGATGAAGCGGTCCAGCTTGATTCATCGTGTCATAATCTTCAGCTCTCACTGAAGTGATTCACAGCCGAGTGTGAAGTGGCTGGGATGAGAATCAGCACCTCCAAATCTGACACCATGGTCCTCAATCGAAAAGGGTGGATTGCTCTCTTCAGGTTGAGGGTGAGGTTCTGCCTCAAGTGGAGTTTAAGTATCTTAGGGTTTTGTTCATGAGTGAGGGAAGAATCGAGCGTGAGATTGACAGATTGGTGCAGCATCTGCAGTATTGTGGACTCTGTGCCGGTCCGTTGTGGTGAAGAGGCAGGTGAGCTGTAAGGGGAAGCTGTCTGTTTATTGGTCAGTATACGTTCCTACCCTCACCTATGACTTAGAAAACTGAGTAGTGATCAAAAGAACAAGATTGTGGATACAGGCAGTTGAAATGAGTTTCCTCTGCAGGGTAGCTGGACTCCGTTAGAGATAGGGTAAGAAGTTCAGTAATCTGCAAGAGACTGAGTATAACCACCGAGCTCCCAGAAGAGCTAAAAGAGGTGGCTGTGGAGAGAGATGTCTGGGCCTCATTGCTCAAGATTCTGTCCCCACGATCCAACTTCAGAACAAGCAGAAGACAATAGATAGATGGATGGATGGATGTATTATTTGTACATTTTTAGATCATTTGTATTTAGAGATTAAACTCAACCAGTGTCAAAGACATTGCAGTGTTGTATATGCATTTTAAGTGCTTTTTTTTTTTTTGTTGTTGTTGTTTTTTTGGATAGTGTACTTGGAGTGGGACAGAAAGGAAAGACATATGTGTTTAGGGAAGTTATTAAATATAGGTATAAAAAAAATATGTAACTACTGACCTCACGAAGCTGAACCCGGACTTTATTAATAGCCCTCAGCCAACGAACTCTTGATGGGGAAAATGGTAATGGCGATCCTCCATCATGGAATCTGTTAAAAATATTTACAAAACACAAAGAGACAATAATTTTTCTCTTTCACCTACATTGTAGAGCATACAAAGATGGAATCTGCATAAGAATAGTACCTTTGCAGTTTAGTAGATTCCTTTTCTGATGTGTCATTTTTCAAAACTGACCCAACTTCAGGGGACTGCATGCATGTCTCCTTCTCACTGCCAATAGGATGTCCATTAGTGGAAAAATGTCCATTTGTACGTAGTTGTCCATTATTGGAGGGGTGTAGTCCAGTGCTATGATAGGAGTGGAAAGACTCCTCGACTTCAGATCCTCCAGTGCTCTCATGGCCTGTCTCACTTAGCTGGGAGCTAGTCTGGCTTAGGTTCCCCGATGAACCAAAGCGACTACTTTCCACTGGACTATAATGGTAAGAAAAGAGAAAGGAAAATATTTAGAAAAGCCATGTATTGAAAACTATTCCTAGACTTTTTAAATTTACATCATTTATATAAAAAGTCAGATAAGTGGGGATATATACAAACAAGGGTTTTAATTTGTAAAATTTTCAATTAAGGGATATTTTAATAATATAGTGAACTGGAATATAACAGACCCCACTCATCTGCATTCTATATGTATTATAAATTTCACTCAACTGGCTGGACAAACACACTATTATTCCCTAAAATGCAAGATATCCAACCTTGTAAGGAGGCTGCTGCATGTTGAAAATGATGAAAAACTTGTAAAGTGCATCAATCCATGTGTAATATACTTTGTATAATTTATGCTACGTCAAAGCTACACTTTTAAGTAGAAACAGAAAAGGTCATGCTCTACTTTGTGGTGTGAGATTTATTATTGTTTGTGAATGAACTCTGAAAAAAGTACAATTCCTAACAGTTAAATCTGCATTTTTTTAATGTATTTTATCTAATAATTAAAAACTCAAGTGCACTGTGTACAGTGGTAAGCAAACACATTCAGACTAAAGTTAAAGCAAAGAGTAGTGAAGGTTATAAAATATGCAGAGATAATATGTGTCTTTATCATCCTACTTTTAGAATATTAGACCAGATTTAATTTGTTAGGGTTAAATAGACTGACTACACAAATAAGACAAGCACATGATTTGTTTTATTGCCTGCATGTCTAATCAAATCAGAACTCCGTAAAATTATGAAATGTCACAGATGGGTAGGTTTGTAATGTCATGACAAAGAAGAAAGCAACTTTGTCAAGTAAAGGAAAATTAAATTTTATGAGGAAAAGTAGAAGTCATTGTCAATTGGCCATTCATAAAAAATAAAAAATAAAATGTTTTGAAAAATGTTTAGGAGTTTTGTTTTGAGATGAAACACAAAACTGCAGAAACAAGCACACAAACAGATTCACAAGCAAAAGACTATGGACAGCAGAGCTGGACAGGGTATACACTTTTCAAACTGTCAATGAAGTATAAATGGTGAAGGGGATACCATTTATTATGCTTTTACTAGCCTTTTTTCATTCAATAGATCCTTCTTTGACTGGTTGTCCAGCTGCACTCCAACAGTAGAACCTGGAGAAGGGTGTGTTTCTACAAGCCTTTCCTTTTCCTTTAGGGTCAGGGGTGCTGAAGGATCTACATCAGGAGTGAAGATGCAAATCTGAGGGTTCTCTATAACATCTGAGCAACCTACCAGTTCAGTTTTATGGGCATCAGATGTTGAAGACTTTTTTACAGTATGTCGTTGATCACTTGTTGGCTTGTCATTAAACTGTGATTGTGCTGCTGTAATTGGAGAAGCTTGTGGGTTGGGCGTTTCTGCCTGCCATGGAAAACTTATTTTTGCACCAAATAATGAAGCGGTTGCCTCTTGTTTTCCAGTAACATGTTTTTTCTCTTGTAATAGAGTTCCAGAGAAAGATTTTAATCCTGAAAACAGAGAATTGCCTCCTTCTGATTGGGGTACAGATGACACAACCTGTGGAATTGAAGGTGCAAAAAATGATCCTAGAGATTTTCTTGCATCACTCTTTGTGGACATAAAATCAAAGAGAGACGTAGCTTGAGGCTGTTCAGCACTACTAGGCAACTGAAGACCTGGGGATGATCTATTAAGATTTGGTTCTTTTTGAACAGATGGATCAGACTTGTCATTCTCTTTACTCTCATGGTCTCCTTTAATGGCCATGGGTTTCTCAAGTGTTACCTCATTGTCTGTACCTATCTTTTTTTCCTCAGTGCAAATTTTCTGAATGGTCATGTCATCTGTGGAATTCACTGACTCACTTGTAACATCATCTATCCTGAGGCAGGCTTCTTCAGATAACAGTGTTAGGTGGTCAGGTTTTATTTGTTTATGAGTATTTTCTTTTGCATTACTCTCACAACCAGATAGAGTTTCTTTAGGTAATTCATTTTCATTTTTTATCTGTGACTGTGAACTGGTAACAGTTGTTGTTTTTGGTTCATCTGGTACTGAATCAGAAGGCTTAGGTGATTGTCCCATACCACCAAAGAGTGATCCACCTATCCCTCCAAGAACTGACGCTCCAGCCTGTGATCCTGCAACTTGCCCAGTGGGACCTCCAAACATCCCTCCAAGTAGAGAACCACTTGACTGTGATGCTACTCCAGCTCCTCCAAACATTCCACTCAGTAATGATCCACCACTTTGGGTACCTGCAGATTTGGCAGGGGATCCTCCTCCAAAAATCCCATCTAATATTGACCCTCCATTGCTTGTGGTTGTGGTTTGAGGACTAGACCGTGTAGCAGGAGCTTTGATTAAGCCTCCTAGTAATGAGCCCCCTGTTTGGAGAGATGCTGACTGATTGTTAGTCCCTCCAAAAATACCCCCTAATAGTGATGTTCCAGTCTGACTAGAAGATCTAGTTGCTATTCCTCCCAGTCCAAACATGCCATTCTGCTGCTGTGGCTGGGGAGTTTCAGTGGGAGCAGCTGCTGGTTTAAACAGGGATGACATGAAGCCTGTAACTGTATCTAAAGATGAATCATTGGATGATTTGTTTGACTCCAGAGGCTTTTGCTCTATTTTGACAATGGGACTTATTGACAAAGAGACTGTTTTCTCTTCCACTTTAGACAGTGTTATATCTTCATTCTGACCACTTACATGCTCTCTAAACTGTGTGGATATTTCAGATTTATTTGACTGGCTATCATCAACTAAAGCAGTTGACTTAACTTCAGGGATAGTACTATCATCCGTTGAGGACACACTTGCCTCAACTGTACTCACAAGTTGTTTTGTTTCCTCTTGCTCTTTGGTTTTAACAGTAGTTTCAATTACACTAATTTCAGCACTAGCAGCAGCAGTTTTGCTGTCATTTGAGGATTCAGGCAAAACAGACTGACCAGTTAAAGTGTCAGTAACAGTTGTTGTAAATGCCATTTTTCTATTGTTAGATAATGCATTTGTTACAGTTGGTATTGGGCATGGAGCAGATTTTTCAGTCACAGAAAGCAAACTTTTATCCAGTGTGTTGTTTGTAATTGTTTGTGCTGTAGCAGTCAGAGATGTTCTTTCTGATATTTTTCCTAATCCAGAGCTATTATTTTGGGTTTCCAAAGTAGACCCACTTGTCTGAGTCACTATAGATGAGGTTAACGTGCCTCCAAAAATCCCACTTAAAATTGACGTTCCAGTTTGAGATCCAGCAGCCTGAGGAGCAGATCCACTAAAGAGGCCTCCAAATAATGATGACCCAGCTTCAGATCCTGCAGTTTGAGGGACATACTTTCCAGTCTTAGGGGGATCAACCTGAGAAGCAGTTTGAGGTGCAGAGCCCCTAAATAAACCACTAAGAAAAGATCCTCCAATTTGAGGAGCTGGTGTTTGAGATGAAGTTCCTCCAAAAATCCCCCCTAACAGAGAACTTCCAGACTGTGGAGAGGGCTGAGAAAGAGAACCACCAAAGGCAGAGAATATACCTGTGGCTGGGGATTCATGTGTTTCTGATGATGCTGGTAAAGATCCAGACTGAGTTTTGGCAGGTTCAGTGCTGGTTGTTGAAAATAAAGAAGGTAAGCTTTTTCCTGGACCATCTGAAAAAATCCTAGCTGAGGATGGAGGATGTGGGCCAGATCCACTGAACATAGATAAAATGGAAGAAGTAAATTCTTTAGGAGCAGGATCCTGGGTTGTACTTACTTTGCTGGTTTCCTTGTTCAAATTAGTGAATTCGGATTGTGGTTCTTTGGATGAAAAGTCTAGGCCTTTAATTGTGACAGCCTCTTTATTAGTATTTGTACTAACTACAGTATTATCATTTGATGGGATAGCATGCAGTTTACTTGAAACAATACTAGCTTTGGTCTCTGAAACGTCATTTTGATGTTCATTGGCATTTGCTGGTTCTGGCATTTGTCTGCTTAAATCTGATGACTTCTGGAGTGATATTTGTTGTGCTGGTTCATTGACAGAAGTTGCTAAGTTGGGAGATTGTTGTTGTGGTGGTGATATAACATTATTAAAAACAGAGACTACATTTTGTGTGGGTACTTTTGATGCAGCAGTCACAGAAGCTGAAGACAAGTTTGCATTTCCACCAATTCCTTGAGATTGAGGAGTTGTGGGAGCACTAAACACGGGAAACAAGTTATTCATTGAATTCTCATTTGAGCTAGATAAACCACCCAATATATCTCCAAAAGCAGAAGCTGCTGTTTGTCCTTGTGGATGAGACTGTTCTTGTGGTTTAGATTGTGTCTGAGGCTCAAACTGCTGTTTAGTTTGAGCAACTGTTTGATGAGATGGCATAGTTGGTGGTTGAGTTTGTGAAGTGATGGAATCACTGAGAACTGAAAAGAAGCCCTTTGTTTGGTTTTCAGATGAACTTGAGGAGCCAGGCAAAAATCCCCCTAGAAAAGATCCTGTTTGAGCTTGAGATTGTTGGGAGCTGGGCCCACTAAACATTGAAAGGAATCCTAAAGATGAAGGACCCTTTGGAGGAACTGTTCCCTGTTGTAGTGTTTCAGCGTTAGTCCTAGATTGGTTAGGAGGCTGGGTGGGACTTGATCCTCCAAACATTGATAACAAACTTTTACCAAATGAGTCTTGTTGATGTGGCTGTTGAGCTGGACTAGGTGGGTGTGCTTGAGGCATGGATTCAGTTTTAGGTGCAGCCTGTTGAGAACTTGAACCAGTAAACAATGAAAAAATACTTTTATTAAATGTGTCTTCCTGTGAAGCTGTAGATGGTGTCTGAGGTGTGGTATAAGACTGAGCAGATGGTGTTGATCCTACCAACAAATCTCCAACGGAAAATCCAAAGAGTCCCCCAGATGGTTTAGTTCCTGCTTCCTGGCTTGTTTGTTTCATGGGTGGTGTAATTTCTGACTTACTAACTGCTGGATCAGTGTAAGAATGGACAGAAGACACATCTGTTATATAGTTAGTTGAGGTCTGGC